TATTAATGACTATTAGTGTCTTTACCTTTGTATCTTTTCTTCAAAATAAGCTTAATTCCTTTTATTAATTTACTGTAAATTTTTCCTGGTATACTTTAATTGGATTAATACAAACGTTTAGAGTAATTGTTCTATTTTCTTTCTCTTACTCTATTTTAACTATATATATTTTTTTGTTATTAGATTTATTCTACTATTCAACTGTATGAAATTACTGAGAATTTAATGAAATAAATCTTGGTTACTTTCATTCTTTAGGAAGTAATTTTCTAATTTACTGCATAGTTTTTTCTTATTATAACAACAATTGATTGACTTCTTATTGTTGCCAGTAACAAAGTATTTGAAATTCTTTATTACTATAAAGATATAACTGTTATCTTTAGGATTATATCTTCTTTTTTTTCTCTTTGGATATATCTTTTTTTTTTATTAAATTCTGTTTCTGACTTTTTTTTTAGATATCATATATTAGTGGATTCTTATATTATTTTTGATATCAGTTTAACCTAGTTGTCTAGAGTAAGATTTAATATATATTGTTTTATGATAAGTGTGCTCTTTATTATCACTGATATTTTCTGATTGATTCATTTTTTTATGACTTGCTATTCCTTTTCTAAAATGTTCTTTAGTACTTTAACTAAATTCAGGATTATATATAAATATATATTGTTTCAAGGTTTTGTATAAGTCTTCAGCTGTTATAAAACAGACTATTGCATACTCCCTTCTCTTTAATGTGAATGGACTTCTTGATATGTAACATGCTTTAACCTTTGTATATTGTATAACTCTTGCTATAAGACTAGTAAAAGTATTATGTATACTATATAACTATAAGGATTAAATATTACAGCTCTTGAGAATGACATCGATTTTATGATTATCTGGTTTATATTGGATAAATATTGTTCTGAAGTTATCCAATTTGATATGAATAAGCTATTTATTGTCCAAGCCTTCAGGTTGATTTGGAATAATTTGTACCTTAGTTATTTTTGGGAATAGAAATAATTATAGATATGAATACTCAATACTTTTCTATATTTTTATAAAAAATTGTTATCAGATTTGGGCTTCTCAGCAAGCCAGCACACCAATTTAAATGTGGCATTTTGTCTCAAAATCCCCACTTTGACATTGTATAATAGTTTTAATAAATAGTTGATGATTTTAACTATAGGGCGGAATTTTTGTTTTAGGCCACATTTTGCTATATTTTGGTTAGATTTTCTCATTATGCTATCCTACTTGCTATTAAAATCCAATAAAATTAAGTCTAATAATATATTCGTTTTACAGTTTTTATATTTCTTTTGCAAGCCTAAATGCATAATAATTATTGAATCTAACCAAAAAGTCTAACCGAATTTTTATGCTACTCTGTTTGGCATTAATTAGAATATTTATCAAATAAGTCTAATGAGATTTTTGTCCTAACTTATCCTTAATTAAGAACAGGCTTAGTGCAGGTTAGCACATTAATTAGTATATTTATCAAATACAGTAAGTCTAACGAAAATATCTCCTGTGAAAATCTAGAAAAAATCCGCGGAATCGTCCCAACTTTTCCTTAGTCATGAATGGATTCTGGGCTAGCTTTCCCATTAAATAGTGCAATGTTTAAACTTAACGAAAAAATTACATATAAGGAAATAATTCTGGCAGGCTAGAGCGCATAAAAATTATGATCTAACGAAAATATGTTACATCTCTATTATACCCTTAGTATATTCCAGGTTTAAAGCTTTAGCCCGCAATCTGTCGTAGTACTGGGTAACGTAATACCCTCTGATATGTGATGGACATCGGCCATAAGCAGAAGAGGTAGGTTTACTACAATCAGAACATGGTACCCGTTTTTTTGATTTCCTATGAAATCGGCAACCTTCAGGGCCTATTGCAAGCCTTTCCGGTATTGCAAAGATATTGGCGTGAATATTCGCCGATCATCCTACTTTTTATTACTAGATTCGAAAAGATTAATTAATAATTAGTTAATGCTTCAATTTTGCAATAACTAAAATTACTTTGGAAAGCTTGTAAATACTTATCTTCGGCAGGGGTTTCTATTATCAAAAGGTGATAAGTAAATAGGAAATAAATAATTAAAGATTTTGTATAAGTAAAATATAATGCAAAAGTTAGAGTTATTACCAATGACTAGAAAAGATAAGAAAAATCGAAGATGTGATAGGTGTGGTAAGACTGTTGCAACACCTCAAAAATTTCTGGAACATCTTGAAAGGAAGAATCCTTGTCAGCCTATTAATCAAATATCTAGACAAGTTGCAGAAGCTAGTCATTATAATATTCACCGAACTTTACCAAAGGCTAATAATAGCAAATCAGAAATAAAAAATCTTAATGACCGATTACCTGGTGAAACTGTCTGGAAATGGGGTTCAAGATTACGAAAAAGATATGAAGAACTATATTATAAAGATTATGATCGACCACGAACTTTAAAAGCACATATGGGGGAAACTGTCACTTAGTCCATAAATGTCCTATTAAAATCTAGTAGGAAAATTGTGACTGGATTTGCTTTGCTTTTTATATTCTCTAGATTTATGCCAAGTTCATCAGTTTTTAATTATGATGAAGGTTTTTCACTTGAAATTTTGGCACTCATTTGCCTTCATCCAAGATTGCCTTAGTGGTACAGGAAACTCAAACCATTTTTTTTTGGTGAAATTACTTTCCAGTCAATTTTTAACTAAATCCAGAAATTAATTACTAATGCTAAGTAGGAAGGTGAGAATTATTTAGGATATTCATCTATCTAATCATATTTATATAAGAATAGGGAAGGGGAGCTCAACTATAGTATGGATCACTACTTCATTCGATATTACTATCTATCAGAGGTGAGGGATTCAATCTCATGAGAGAAGAGGTCAGGGAAGGAGCTGAATTTAATTATATAAATTGATCCAATGCATCATATTCTATCTTGTTAAGTTGATGAACTAGTGCAATAAAGTAGAGAAATATATGTTAGGCCTCCATGTTCTAAGTACTGAGCTAATAAGAGAGTAGTGGTAGACCAATTTCTCTACTCTTTCATGTAATATCCAATAATATGGAAGATGGCAGTGTCCTATATCCATTTATGCCAAACCCAATGACCTATGATAGATCCCAGGTTCTTATAAAGCTGGAGAAATATATCAAGATACATGGAGTGGCCAATAGGAGCTTGTTTATATTCTTGTACTGATATAATTCTACCGAACCAATCAGGTTATAAGAAACTTTGTGCTACTCAAAATTCAGGGTTAAACTGAAGTAGGCAAAATTCCTTAGAAAAAATCCAGAAAGAGTACTATTAGAGCCTGTCAAGTTCTTTATAATACTTTATTACAAATAGATGAAGAAGCATATGGCGATATAGAATCTATAGAAAAACAAGAATTCTTTGAAGAATTTGAAAATGAAGAGGTAAATAGACAAATAATAATTAAACCTACTAAAAATCCAACTGAATCATCTAGTAATAAAGAAGAATCTTCAATCAATGAAGAATTTGAGCGTCTTAGCATAATTACTGGGGATAATGAAAAAAGTATAGTATTTAGAGAACAAATATGGGTCCAGCACTTAAAAGACGAGCTATAGCTGTATATAATGCAAAGGTTTCTAAATTTCATCCTGCTAACGGAAGCGATATAAGAAAAATGTTAGAAAGCCAAAGGAAATCATTTCGGGAACTACTTAAAAAAATTGACAAACGTGGGAAATTCAAATTTTCATTATGTTCTCTTGCAAAATTTCTTATATATGACAAACCCGATAATAAGGAAAGATAAGAAAAAGAATTCACGAACAGATTGGCTTAGAAATAAGCAAATTATAGTACACAATCGATCAAAAATTGATAATTACTTAAGTGATGCTTTTGAGCAAATCGGAGGAAAATCTAATGCTTAAGAATATATTTAGGTGGTAATTGTACATCCTTTACAATCTGAAGTTCCTCTCTAACAAACAAACGTTCCGGACCATCAAAAAGTTTGTATAGAATCGGTTGATCATTTTTTATTAAATATGACTCAATTGTAAAAACCTCGGGACTCCAGTTACAATCTGTCACTCTTCTTTTTCCAAAAGTACTCCCCTCTAACTCTCCAATTTCTAAAAGATGATGGACTTCTGTATGCACTGGTAAAATAGGTTCATCATATCCTATGTTTAACAGCAGGTTTCGCAATAATCTTCTCTCCTTTTAAAGCTCTTTTTTCCGACTCATTAGGTGCCATGCCTATTAACCGGGTTGGAGTATTATTATAGATATCATCATTAATGTGAAGATTCCTAACCAAATCTCTAGATCTTTCAGATAAGGGAAGTAAAAAATCTTTAGCGTCTTGACGTAAAAAAGCAAGCCTCTCAAATTCTTGATGATCGCGTTCAGCGATAGCAACACCACGTTTAGAATTTGCATACTAAATTTTTACACCATTATTGAGTAATAAATTTTTACATGAATCCATATATTCAGTACCTCTATTCACAATAAAAGTTTTTGGATAACTAAGAGGGCTATTTGGGTCATTATAAGTTTTTCGAATCGCCTTAGCCATTTGAGCATATGTTTTATCCGTCAAAGCAAAACTACGCCGATACCTAGTTGCAATATCTTTAATAACGCCTCTATACTTGTAAATTCGATTACCTAATTTATCATGAGGCATAGGCGTAGTATCTGATTGATGTACTTCGTTCAAATATTGAATGCTATTAAAAGAAGCATATTGTATAAATCGTGGTCTAGGCTTATGTATCTGATATAAAGCCTGTTTATTTAACCAATATTTTGTAAGCAGCTTTTTTACATGCATTATACATTTTTTCCACAGTCCGATAGTATCCTTTAGGTTGATAATATAGTTTCTGCATTGCAATCTCCTTATCTAAATCATGAGCCTTCTGTGAGTCGATATAAATTACGGGTTGTTCCATTCCTTTCAAGTATTAATAATCTGTAAAAAACCATGGAGGAATTACGTCAAGTTAACCAAGAACTTTACGAGGAAATAATATATTTAGCTCAATCAAATCGAGATTATGAGCATAAAAATTACAATCTCGAAAAACAGATAGCTATACGTGAGGAAAGAATCCAATTTTTGGAAAAAGAGCTAGAAAGCGTTATATCACTTTCTAGTCAAGAGAGAGAAAAATTACAGAAAGAAATCTCAGACTTAAAGAAGTCGTTATATCAAGCTAGAAAAGAAATCAAGCAAAAAGAGAAGGATCTAGTTATTGGAGAAAATCAATTAGGTGAATTCGATGTCCGAGAAAAAAAGGCTCAAACATAGAATAAAAGAGCTATTAACATCAGGAAGAAATTCTCCACAAACTTATAACCAGTTAGTATAAATGACAGATAAAATAGAGCAACTTCGTAATGAAATCAAACATTACGACAATATCTTACAGATAGAAATAACCAGATAGCTCGACAAAAAAGGCGCATTACTGATCTACATTGTCAAAACTTCGCTATAAGATTAATACATTTAGAGATGTGATCCGTTTAAATCCGTATTGTTTTGATCGTCATTCGTTCAAAAATATCAATCCGTATATTAATCCGGATATCCTTACGAATAAACGAATGATCAACAACTAATTTTACTTTGAATAATAGTAAAATTTTTTTGGTTTTGAAAATTTTTAACATAGGCTAATATGCAGTATATTACAT